CACACATACACACACACACACACACACACACACACACATACACACAGAGACCCCTCACTCCAACACACATACATATACACATATACACACACACAGAGACACCCCTCACTCCAACATACACACACACACAGAGACCCCTTACTCCAACACACACACAAACCCCTTCACTCCAACACACACAGAGACCCTTCACTCCAACACACACACACACCTCATTCCAACACACACACACAGACTTGAAAGAAAGATGTGGGGAAACAAGGACAGAGACCTGGGCTGGAGCTGAGGTTTACATATAAAAATTTACATTTTTAACGGGGCTGGAGCGAAGTTGTCTTCCAGTGGTGGGTAATAGTGGGTTAAGATATCTAAGGTGTATGTAAGTTGGAGGAACTGTTAACAGACTTGAACCCTGATACCAAATGGCCAAAACTGGGCATTAATGTTCAAAGCCTAGGAAAGTAGGAATAATGTATATTGATTCTATCATGGGCTTCTAATAACCTTTACTATCCTCTTCAAAATGTTCTCTAAGGCTCTGATAGGAACAAACAAAAAGAACTTAGTCTAAGTACTACCGTTTCTGTTAGGCTCCACGTAATCATAAGGAGAAAATAGATTCAAGGTCCCAGGCCCAGGGGGAGCTGGGGACTTCCCAGTAGTTGAACAGCTTCTATTATAAGAGTTCAGAAATCTCAGGGATAACTTATAAGGAAACAGTTGTCTGAATCCAGACATATCAAAGACAACTTCCCCATCTTGCTGGCAGGGTCTAAAGAAATTCGTGTTCTCAGACCCAGGAACCTGGTCCTATTCTGATTGATGAAAACTCCCTTGCTCAACCCCTTATGTCAAAATATGATTGAACAACGTTACAGCCTACCCTGCTCCCTTGTACTTCCTGGCTTTATCCTTTATAAATATGCTATGCAGCATTTCTTCAGGGTCCTGGTTCAATTCCCGAGTCTGTTCTTCAGCCCTGATCCATCCATATCAATCCATATCAGCTTGATTACAATAGATTTTTGTCATCTGTATCGACCTGATATTTGAATGATGTTGGCTTTAAGCAGACTCCACAACAGCTCCAAGTCCTGTGTTTGCCTAGCATGCACAAAGGACCTCAGCTCAATCCCCAACACGTCAAAAAGTTCCAGAAACTTTTACTGACTTCCTAAGGCAAGAATGTGTGTAGGAGCAGCTGCAATTGAAATTCACTCCCAGATTGCAAGCCGGTTGGGTTGGCGCTGTGAGGAGACCAGGTGGACGCTGTTAATTACCAGACAACAGAAAGATCATTGGCCATCATGACAGACAGGGAAAACAAGTGGTCACCTGACCTACAGAGTTCTCTGGTGACATAGGGCCCAAGGAATGGTCTCCACAAACAACCCACTTAGACTTGTGTGTGTGTGTGTGTGTAGCAACAACAACAACAAAAAAAACCCAGCAAAACACAGGCTTTATGTTTTGGGACTAGAAACTTCTCCTGTCCTGTCCTAAGTCCTACAAAGACTTAGTTCTAAGTACTAAATCCAGATTCCAGATCCACAGCCCTTAAATGAAATCCAAGATTGAAACATTCCATCCTGCAGCAAAGCTCTTTAAACAGCAAGTAAACAACTCAAACAGCTTAAGACCTGAAACTGACCAGATTCACTAGGCCCTGCCCTGCCAGAGTAAGCAATAAAGGCTGAAAGTCTCTCCTTTTTTTTTTTTGGGTGGGGGGAGAGGAATGGGTTTATTTGCTTTACACCTCCATTATTGGAAAAAGGTCAGTACAGAAATTCAAACAGTGCAGGAACCTGGAGGGATGCAGGAGCCAATGCAGAAGCCATGGAAGGGTGCTCCTTGCTGCCTTCCTTAATTGTTCAGTCTGCTTTCTTTTAGAATTCAGGACCACCAGCCCAAGAACTATACTCCCTACAATGAAGTGAACCCTCTCCATCAATCACTAACCATAAGATACCCTACAGACTTGGCTACACTTACATCTTTTAGAGGCTTACATCTTTTAATTGAAGTTTCCTCCTGTCAGATGACTTTAACTAGTATCAAGTTGACATAAAGCTATCTAGCACATGGATTTTATTCTTTGAGTTATAATTCCATGTTAGTTTTGGGTGTAAGGGCTAACTGGGTCATTTCAACCTATAGCTTCCTCTTTTTCATGTTTACTGTAAAAGAGTACTACTGAGATCCTGTTTGCCACTCTGAACTCTCTAACATGATCTCCAGTTATTCATACTCCAGAAAGTAAATGTTAGAGCCAAGACCATATTTTGTTCATTTTACACCCATGGGAAAAAAAAAGTCTTAACTAAGTCAAGCTGTCAAGAAGACTC